GACTTTAGTTACTGGTACTTCAACACGAATGATTTGGTATCACTTTAAAGCCAAACAGAACCAAACCAAAATTATACAGAACCCGTGGGACTTAGAGTTTTGCGAGGTGTTCCTGCTCCAGGGAAGCCCAGTCAAGTCTATATTTTGAAAAACGGCTGTGCATATAACTTTTCATACTCAGCGCCATATTATACTGGGATAGTCTGGAAGGCTAGCCAGCCCAAATCGGATTAATTCGTCGCGGTAACTGAAGCCGATAGACTGAAGCCGGTAACTGTCCGGTTTACCGGGTAACTGTTCGATTTGAGCGAGAAAAAGGAACGGACTAGACCAGGTGCAGCACAGCTTGAGCTTCGAGGTCTTCAGCTTTACCCTGGCGCCCTGACATGCGGCGGCATCTGCAGCAGCAGCACGCTGTACTGCTGAGCTCGGACGACGGAGGCCGTAAGCTGTAGTAGTAGTAGTAGTAGTAGAAATGCTATGTCTACACAAGTACTAAAATGTGTGTTTTTCCTCTTGCTGTTGCAGAGGAATTGCGAACGTATTTGTGTTTCCGGCGAGGATATTACAGGCTCCAAATGGTCGATTATCAGAAAACTGGCGATTGGATTGACGTGAAGAATATCCCAACGTGGAGAAAAGGCCGAGATGAATTCTTTCACGTGTCGCCATCGAGTGGCAAAGCTAGGGATGCATACGAATGTGTACATGTCGCCTGCGTATCCGTTCCCACGCAAACAGGGAAGTATGTGGAATGCCAATATGGCGAGATGGAGTTTTTTGCAGGCTTAAATTGTCGAATGCTGTTTTTTTTCACCCGTACAAGAACCAAAGCTTGATGTCGCCGTAGGAGTACGCATACGGCAACCAACTTTACTATTTGGAGATAAAATTTACTATTTGCTTCCTGAGCCCGTACGAGACCACAAAAGAATACCACTTTGCAAAAGATGTCATGCCAACCCGCGTGAAAATGAGTTTAGTGTCGCTATGCGGCTACGATCAGTTAAGTGCGAGAACTCAATTGCTACTGCTATTATTGCAGCAAATAGTGCGAAGCTAATGCTGGATCGGAGCAGCGTGATTCGCCGGTACGTGATTAGGCCTTCACTGTATTTGTCACAATTAATTTACTGCGTGTATTGACCAATCTTTAAGCAGCGGAATTCTGCACTAGTCTCTTTCAATCGATCGCGCGCGTGCGTTAGGGCGTAAGTCTTTAAGTATCAGCTCAATCCGGTGACGAAGATGCAGTCGTGTATAGGTTCATTTCCTAAAGAAATCGGACGATGGAAGGCGAGCGTGCTGAAGAACGAAGGGCAAGACGATGTGCTCAGCAACGCGTCCGACGCGCGCGCCAGCGTGAAACCTCCGCTGCTACTCAGGAGCAATCAGTAGCTACAAGGACCGAAGAATACGGATAAGAAGAAACACTCAGCAACGCTTGCGAATATCCTGCAGCGCGAGTCTCGCGCTGCCGTTGAAGAATCAACTACGGCGAGTACTTTGCGAGCGAGACGAAGACATCAGCAGCAAGTACGGCGTGCGCAACGACTTCAGGAACCGCTCGACGCAGAAGAGCGGGCCGAGCAAGAGAGGCAAGTGCGCCAGGAGTTATGTAATCGGCGACGAGAGATAGAGGGTGATTTGGTGCGTGAACTTAGTTAGGGAATACTCACTGTGTCTTCGCTGACTAACGACGATATCCAATGGTTGGCTAAAGGGCAACGGTATTTGAAGGACCCGCGTTTGGTTTTGGCTTATTATTATTGTTGTGGTGTCGATCCTGGGTCTTTCGTGCATGGAGACGAAACGCTGTGTGATGGCGAAGGACAGACCACTCGAGAGCGGATTTCATTGATGTTTGATGATTGTCCAAAGGCGGCAGACATCGCCGAATGCCAGCGTTGGTGGCGGCGAAGGCCGCTGAAGCGACTTCGGTTTGGGCTTGCGCGGCCTGTGGGCGAATACTGCTTCACACTGATTCTGACAAGATATTCTTTGAGCTAGTTAAATTAGATTTTTCCCTTTCAGTAACTTGCCGGTGGTAAAGTTACTGAAACTGTGTAGTCTACTTGAATCCATCAATCGGTAATCGTCTACACTCAGTCGAATCGTTTCTCTCCTTTCATACAAAGCACCTCTCCACTTTTTTTCTGACATATTTTGTCCATCCGCACAATATGCTCGCCTGCTCCTGTTGTCATTCGACAATTTTCGCTTGTCTGCACAGCTATGGTGACTCCTCGTCCATGTGATCGAGAAACTCTCGAGACCAAGCCGCCTACAGCAGTCCGTGATCCAGCTTTGGTGACTCCTCCAAGTAAGACTTTTCGTGCCGCGGTTAGTGAAGTCGCAGTGGGAACGGCAGAAGTGAAAACGGCAGTTGGTCTACCCCTTTGTGATCGGAAAACGCTCAAGACCAAACTTGCAGTAGGAACGGTCCGTGATCCAGGCCTCGCGATGATCTCTACCACAGCTTCGAAACAATCTCCTCCAAATTCCGGACTCGGGACAGCTTCGCAAGTGACGGAGAATAACCAAAAGATGTCGCCCACTGTCAAGGGCTCTTGCCCTCAAATAATTGTGGACGCGCGACTGGGAGTCTGCTCGGTATCTGAACAAGATGGTGCCGTTTGTGATTTTGCCGATAATTCCCCCCAAACTTCAGTCAGCAGCGCGCAGACTGGTGTTGGATCTGCGCGCATCTATCCTCTTCAGGACTTAAAGCCCAGCACACCTTCTCCGTGGGCGTTTATCGCGCGTGTGATAGCAAGAAATCCCGTGCGTGAATGGAAAACCTGGCAAAATAATGGTACATTGCTTGAAGTTTTCGTTGCCGACTCACCCAAGATCGTTTACCGGGTTACCCTGTTCAACGAGGCAATAACAAGTTATGGTGACGTCATCGTTCCTGGAAACAGTTGCTTCTTCTCCGGAGGCCGGATAAAACCTGCGTTTTCGGCGAAGAATTGCGTTGAGATATTTTCGGATCCAATGCGGATATTCACCTGGCCTAAACTCCTTTGTTGGATGCCCCGCAAATACCTACCGTTACAATAGCCAACCTTGCGGCAGTTGAGGACGGGTCTGTAACAACAACTATTGCTATTGTGCATCGGTTGGGCTCGGTGAAGCGTATTGTAACGCGGAAGGGGAAGACGACTGATAAGCGAGAGCTACTCCTTGTTGATGATTCCGGGTACCAAATAGTTTGTACGACGTGGTGTCACCTCGCCAATGGAGACATTTTACAAGGCAGCGTCGTCGTTGTGAGAAATGCTACGCTTTCTACGTACAACAAACTCCGGTATGTTTCAGTTGGTCCTGCATCGGAGATTCTACACGAACCTGCGATCGATCGCGCCGACCTACTCCGTAATTGGAACGGTGGTTTGGCGCCATCCCATACGTTCTCACCTCTTTCCGGGCTTTAAACGTAGCGTTTCGTACACGACAATTTTGCAAAAATGCTACGCTTTCTACGTACAACAAACTCCGGTATGTTTCAGTTGGTCCTGCATCGGAGATTCTACACGAACCTGCGATCGATCGCGCCGACCTACTCCGTAATTGGTACGGTGGTTTGGCGCCATTCCATACGTTCTCACCTCTTTCCGGGCTTTAAACGTAGCGTTTCGTACACGACAATTTTGCATTTTTTAAAAAAAAGTAAGAAAACAGTACATTTTCGCTTTTTTTTTTAAACTATCCCAGCCTTCGCTTCTCCCTAGTTGCATAGGACACATAAGCAAACGACGAGATTTGATTCGCTAGAAACTATGTAGACTATAAAAGGCGACATGTACACTATAAACGACATCAAACTTACGCACTTACCGAGCACTTAACGCGTAAATTACTGCCACTTCGTCATTTATTTGAAAGCCCATTCTCTGTTGCACACAGAAAAAATACGTTACCCATCACGCGTGTGTGAGAGACCTTATTTCCGTCTATCCATTTTCTGTTGGACTTACATGTAGCACGATCCCTGTTATGAGGCCCTGTCATAACAGTCCCGTGAATAATCCAGAGAGCGTTGCAAAATTATCCCCCTTCTGTGACATCACCTACTTTTCCCGCTTAGGTACGGGTGCAACAAAAAATTCTCCCTTTCCAGAATCCATCGGCTCGTGTAGAGATGGTGGAGCTCTTCTGCGCGATTGTTGGTGTTGCGGGAAGCGCATTCGAGGTGGACATAGATCAGACTGCGTCGGTTTCCGCGCTAAAGAAGGCGATCAAAGAGGAGAACGCATCGACGATCACATGCGACGCCAAAAACCTGCAGCTCTTCCTGGCGAAGAAGGATGAGGGTCGCGGTCCGTGGCTGACTGAAGAAGAAGTGAAAAAGGATGTGATTGATACAACTGGTCTGAAGCTGCTGGAAGCGGCGCGAGCGAGGCTTCGGCGTGTGGGGCTGTCGGATGTGGATGTCGGTGGAGTGGATGAAGACGAGGAAGTAGAAGGGAGGGGCCCTGTGAACGTGCTGGTGGTGGTTCCAGGAATTACAACTACCGTTGAGGTGAGGGAGAGAAAAGATGAAGTGCTCATGGCCGAGCTGGCGTACTACCAACGCTTTGGTCAAGAGATCCAAATCAAGTGCCACAGTTGCTGTGGTGCAATTCTCGACAAAATTGACACCATTTACGAGGAAGGGTCTCATCCGAAGCCTTTCATCTGCGTGGAAGGGTCGTCTGGAATGGGGAAGTCGCAACTGGCGTTTTCATTGGGAGGTGAAGGACGCAAACATCCACGGCCGTGGTTTTATTGGCCTCTTCTCTCTGCGGGGGAAGAAATGCAACGCGTGTATTGGAACTTTTCATCCATCGCGACTGCCTTCGAATCTGTTGTGAAGAAGGACGGGCTGGAGAAGCTACCAAAAGCAGAGATTTTGAACTGCGCTTCATCGTTTTACACCACGCAGGAACTGTGGACGTATGGGTTCATTATCGAACTGTTGAGGTATTATTCCCGTGCAGATGTTGGCGCACAGATGATCCGCGTTGAAAACGAAACGTTTGAAGTGGCCAAGTGTGGTCTGAAAGATGTCATTGATGCGCGCACTAAAATGATCAATCGAAAAGTGTTGCCGTTCTTCATTTTGGATGAAATGACGCCAAGCGGGGAAATTCCGAACATGATGAAATTAGCGGCGTTTCAACGCAATGTCTTTCGTGCTTGCGGTCTGGTCGTGATTGTAATGGGCACGGACGCCAAGATTTCGAATCTGGTTAGTCAGTCACAGCACAGTCGCACAGGCTCTCATTGGTGGATGACCGTTGTCTCTAGTTTTCCAACTTACCAGTCTATTCCCTTCAACGATCCTGCGAAGGAAGAATCGTGGCAGAAGGTGATAAATTTGCACCCCGTCGTGAAGGACATTGCTGATAATTCTCGTGGTCTGTTCTCGCGGTATTTTGTGGACGCTGTGGTACAATTTGCTCTGGAGGAAGTTGCGGAAAATGAAATATTTGCTTTGGCGGACATGCTAGACGCAGCGTTCAAGGCGGTATATGTCAAGGCTCAGGATGCCAAAGGTTTCATGAACACTGAGTCAGGGAGACATGCGCAGCTGATGGCGCTATCGTACATTAATGCCAGCGTTGAACTTCCTGATTACACGATTTCTGCTACCAGTGGTGATGATGACAGGAGTGAACCTCCTCTGAAAAAGAGTAAAATGGGGGTTCAGAGCATGCATGTGCATTTTGCGAACTTGGTTGATGAAGAAATTACTGATGTGGTTGTTTCAGGGGGCAGATTAAAAAAAGTGGATGGAACCCCCTGGATGCCAATCTGTCGTTTTCCAGTCATTGAGGAAGACGTGTTGCTGTACCTCGCCGTGCTCGGTGGAAAGGAGTTGTCGGCGTACTACGACTACAACACCGGGACGAAGTATTCAACAGCTAGTGTTTTTGATGAGTTTCGCAGGCGAATTGGCAATGAACCACACGGAAATACAAATGCTCTCAGAAACAATTACTGCGAATTCGAGAACTTGGTGGCTCATGCGCTTTTTTGTGCGTCGCGAAAAAATGGTGTGCGAGGAATCGCCTTTAACGAGTTCTTCTTTGCTTTGGTTGATGAATTTCAGGACGAATCCTATCCAACAAAATTTAAGGCCAGTGCCTTGTTGGAAAGATATGCTGGTTTGAAGAAGAAGTTCGCAGAAACCATGATCCCGTTTGTGGCACCACCTAATGCGAGATGGCCGGATTATATTCTTGGCGCCTGCGGTGCTGGTGATGGTGACTGCAACTTCGGCCATCTTGCTCGCGCTAAGGACAGCGAGAGATTGGATTGTTACGTGATGGTTCCTGGGAATGACAATCCACTGTTCGTTTGCGAATGCAAACATTGGAAGAAAAAACTAGACAGCGGTGCGATGGAGAAGATCATTGAGGGTTTAAATGCTGAGTATACAGGGCGTGCAGGGCGAGATGGTCAGCGAAAGCCAAAGTGGCATAACTGGGATCTTGCGCTCGTCTTTTGCTATGAACTTACCCAGTTCAAGCAGAAAAAAGTTGGTGCTTGGAAGTTTCATGGTACTGGTATCGTCACGGTCGATTGCAAGACGTGGGTGAAGAAATGGATTATCGAGCCAGGGGCTGGGGAGAAATTGGTCATTGTGCTTCAGACAGGGAGTTTGTTTTAAGATGAAGTTTCTGGTAGGACGGCACCGTCGTTCCGACGATGAAACTTCTTGCCTCAGGATACTCCAAGGACGTCGATGGAGCGATACACATTGCAATTAAGCGGCTCTTAGGAGGCAGAAACTTAATACAACGTCGTAGTTTATAAATGTGATTAGCTTCAAGAATGTCGGGGACTACTACCTCCGCTCGGAAAATTAATCACCTTTCCAAAAAAAAATCACAGCGCTCCGCCTCGTTCTTTTTCATGATCATAAAGTTTGCGGAGGGCTACCGATCCTTCTATAAAACAGCCCAGTGGGTACTGTGCTAGGAGCTTTGACCTTTGAAACGATAATAGATCCGGGCTTTTATGTTCAACTGCGGGTGTGCTTG